ACTTTGTTTTTGTATTTTTTTTTTTTTGAAAGAATAAATTAAATAATTTTGATTGAATTATTTTTTTTTTTGCCTTATGCATATAAATAATGGCTTATTATTTGGTCGAGAATCTTAGACTAGAAAAAAAAAGTTTTTTTTTTTTGGCCAAAAATAGTAATCTATTATTGTTGAGGACATTTTTTTATTGATGACAAATAATATTTTTCATCCATTTTCTATTCCATTATTGGCCTATGAATCGTATAGCCTCACTATTACAAGTATTGTCTGTTCATATTTTTAATAATATTGTCGTATGGTGTCCCAGTGTGGTGTGTGTGTGTGTGTGTGTATATGTGGTGCACCGTTGTTGGACACAACGATATAAAATGTGTACAGACAAATATCATAATAAACAACATCTTGAAGTTATCAATACATACACACACACACACATACATACACATATATACATACATAAATACACACATATATATATACACATAGAGAGGCGAACAGACATACAAACATTGATGTCAAAGGTAGTGCACTGCTATGATAATGTACACCATGGACTACCGAATGGGCAAGGAAATGTGTACTCATTCATATACACACAGACACACACACACACACACACACATATAGACATACTAATCGATTGGTACCCTTATGATAGATGAGAGGAAGAGGAGGTGGTCTTATGATGGTAGCTGAGGTTGGTAGAGAGAACCGGTAGGATAGATAGAATGATGGTAGTGATAGGGGAACAGAGAGGCACCTCACATTACTACCATATAGATGGATGGATGGAACCACACAGCACAACAACACATCTCATCTACTGCTATTACTCCCCCCCCTCCCCTCCCCCCTTGTTCATATTACACATCCAATGCTACTACTACTACTACTACTACTACCACTTACTACTTACTACTGTTACCGTTGCTACTATTTATTATGATTACTAATTAATTTAATTTGAATTAATTCATTTTAAATTCAATTTAAGTTAAGTTCTAACTATAGTATATTTAAACATGATATGAAATCTATTTATCATTGTGTTTAGAATTTAGAGAGTAGGCTGAAAAAGATGGAAATAATGTCAAAAATAACAATGAGTAATCAAATAATGAATGTAAATGATTCCGGAATAATATTTAAATAATTCCGGAAATTTTGAGATATCAATTAAATGTAATGATATCATGTTTACAATATATATTATTTTTTCTTTTTTTTTTCAACTTCTATTCTTGTAATAATTAAAAAATTAATCATATTTTCTTGATTTATTTCATTGTTTTATTCGATAGGTATTTCGGTTATTTTTCCGGAAAGAATTCCTTAATGAAATACTTTGATGTAATTATATAAATTAAACGTTAATTAGATGGGTATGGAAATGAATGAAAATTTGTAAATGAATGAATAATAAAAAGTATATAATACAAAATTGATATCTGACAAGTGATCCTTCAAAAATGTTATCCGTTTAGAATCGATTTATAATCATCGAACTATGCCATTCAAAAAAAAAAGAAAAGAAAAGAAAAGAAAAGATATTGCAGAGTGAATTTTATTAATGGCTGAAGGAGAAGAGTTATTTTTGGTGGATAATAGCCCAGATATGTCTCTTCTGGATGAAGAAACTGATGATGTCTCAGGTTCATTTCATATTTGTTCAATTATTGATATTTTCTGGAAATTTCACGAAATTTCAATTTTTTTTTCTTATTTTATTAGTTTACTAGCATATGAATCATTCATGACCTATCTTTAATGAACATAGTTTTTGATATATAATAAATTTATTATTATTATTATTATTGTTATTATTATTATTATTATTATTATTATTATTATTATTATTATTATTATTATTATTATTATTATTATTATTATTATTATTATTATTATTTATTATTATTTATTATTATTATTATTATTATTATTATTATTATTA